TACTCTGATTAAAAAAAAAAAAAAACAAATCTCTTGGTGTGTTAACCTGAACTACAAACTTTGATTTCTCAGGTTGACATTTATGGATTGTTCTTCCTCATTTTCAGTGACCTTTAACACTCTCTATTTTTTTTTTAAGGAATCCCTTTCATATATCACATAGAAATACAGACAAGTAAATAAGTCATTTTCATTTCTTTGCAGAGGAAATATGGTGACTATTTTAATGTGAAGTGAATGGCAAGAAAAACATGATATTAGGTCTAACTGGAATAAAGATGAAACATGAGAGACAGTACAGTCGTTCATCTACAGCACGAGGCTTGGCCCACTTTAGTTCTGGCTGTATTTCAATGGTGTGTAGTTTTGACATTGACATGAATTACAAGCTTGCGTGTGTGTGTGTGTGTGTGTGTGTGTGTGTGTGTGTGTGTGCGCGCGCGCGTGCGCACGCACACATGTATTAAAGAGGTTGTATTAGAAATGTCCAGTATCTTTCCCTAATGTTACCATCTGAGGCCACTTAAGGTTGGCAGTAACCCATCTTTACAACTAAAACTTGCAACTGAAAGATGGATCTTGTTCGCTGTTGTACAATTCCTCAATCTGTTTTGAAACCCCATTAAAGTACATTTCATTTAAGAGTGCTATACAAAACATGTATAAAAATGAGCTACAGTTTTCTGTGAAAAATAATACTTTAAACTCTCATCCCGTAGAGGAAGGTACATTAGCAAGTTATAATGAACGGGCCTGGGGACATGGATCAGTGGTTAAGGGTGTTCACTATGAAGTTTACAGATCTCAGTTTAAACACTCAGCACCCACAAAAAAAAAAAAGCAGCAGCACACACTCCTGTTGTAACATTAGTGGCTTAGGATGTGGAGATATGATAGCCAGGACTTGCTGGACTTCAGCCTCAAGTGAGGTTCAGCAGAGGGCCTTACACCAAAGAAACAAATCCAAGAGTACCAGAGAAAGACATTTAGCATCATCCTTTAGGCCCCAAGTCTGCACATGGAACACACATTCTTCATGTACACATGCATCTTCTCCATGTATAAATGCACAGCTTCTTCACATACACATACAAGTATTCATCATATAGACAGACACATCTTCTTCATGCACACATACACATGTCCTTCATGTACATAATATGCACAATAGCAAAAAAAAACTAAGTAAATAAACCAATCAATAAAAAGTCACGATCAACATAAAATTCACTGAGAGCAAGGATCTAAGCAGTGCGTGGCTTTGAGCTATTTTATTATATTTAATAAGCAGTCGAATGACTACCAGTTGAATAAAAGAATGCATACAATTTATAGGAGTGAAAAAAAAACACTAGCTTCCTGTAGACATGTGCCACTCCCACCTAGGCTAATATGTACACAGGCAAAACAAACAAATGCAGCCTCTGCTTTAGATATTTGAATATCTGATACCCCTCCTCAGCCATTCTGAATGCCAAAATGAATGCAGGCATTTAATATCAGCACTGGCCAGTAAGTAATGCTCAAGCTGATGCACTCTGCTCAGAATTAGCCTCTTACTGCCCTTTGCAAAGCCTTATTACTCTGAGTGGCAATTTTGAATCTGGCATCTACCTGTATCTTTGGTTTCTGTTCTAAGTCAGTTGGCCATTTTCACCATGCTATGGGTGGAGCATAAGCAGTATTTAACAAAGATGTTTTAATGCAGACTTCAAACATAAGGGCTAAGAGAAAGTCAGGTACTCATGAGGAAGGGTTTGGCACACCTGAGAGCATGGGTTTAGGCCCTCAGGGAGGAATTATAGAAAGTAAGGCATATCCAAGTATGAGTCTGGGCTCCTGGAATGGGGGAACAGGTTATTCTTTTATTTTTCTTTGTTTGTTGTTTTACAATAGCCAATATAGGAATTTGGTGGGGCTTGAAATGATTATCTCTGAAAGGTTGCTAAGAAACACAAATGAGATCATTGGATGGTTTTGTAGGGCTACTGGGTAGGATTATACTTGAGAAGGGAAAAGTTGGTTCACAGGAACACAGGAAGATAGGCTATCTTTGCTGTACGCACAAAACAAAACAAAAAAAAGCTTTGCTTTAAATTCTCAGATGATGTCTGGGGAAAGGATTCAGGCACATGCCTAAGTCATGCACATTCAGGTCTTAGGTCTACTTCATAGTGACGTTAACAAAAACTGTCCATATATGAAAGGAATATGGGCTCTCTGCCGGCAGCCTTTCCAGCCAATGCCATTAATTGTGCTGGATTTCTTGCTTCTCTTCTGGCAAGAAACTTAGTCAGACTTTAGGGTGAGTGGCTCTTTTCCTGTCTTAAGCTCCCATAATTTCTCTAATGTGCACACACCTATGTTACAGCCCAGGTACGTAGGTAAGAGGGCAAATCTGTATTTGTCTCTTGTTGGTTCACTCCTGTGTCATGCAGGTGGGGAAACCAACCAGATCATTTGTTTTAGCAATAAGGAGCCATCTTGATGATCCCAAGTTTGAGGTTGTTGTATATCAGCCAATGAAAGTAGGCACTTGGTGATAAATTTTGGATGAGCAGCATGATATAGAATCAAGACATGAATCTTGGGACCATTAGTAGATTAGTCCTATTTTATTACAGAGAGGATTGGCTCACAATGGAATTGGTCCTCAGTAAGAACATGTTTAGGTACAGAGCTAAGGCAGACTTTAAACTTTAAAGGCCTGGGAAAAAGTAAGAATAAAGACAACTTCAAAGGGAAAGAGGAGGGAAAGGCCTGAGACATGAGGTGGCTTGCTGAACTTGGTACCTTGAAGTTAAGAGCAAAAATTTAACACTTAGGGTTATTTCTGAGAGATATTTGCTAATTCCTGCCATCTTGCTTCTTTTCTGGTTTATTTCCATACTGTTTATTCTTCCATTTGGGAGAAAAAGGAGACTAGTCAAGAGAAGAGGCAGCTGTCAATGGTAATAGAAAGTGAATATGGTCAAATACAAGACACTTGAACAAAATTGTCATTACAAAATCTGACTTTATAATGAATGTTCATCAAAAAAGTAAAATGAAAGAATTCAAAGAATGTGTCCTAGGATTATATACAAAGATGCAACTATATGTACATATGTATATATGTAGACATATATGTGTGTTAATGTATCAGACAGTGTTTATTTTTAAAAATGGATTTATGTTGCATCTTTTGTTTGTTTGGTTTTGGTTTTTTAGAGACAGGGTTGCACCTTGTAACAGCCCTGGTTGTCCTGGAACTCACTCTGTAGTCCAGACTGGCCTTGAACTCACAGAGATCTTCCTGTCTCTGCCTCTCAAGTGCTGGGATTAAAAGTGTGCATTACCATCATCCAGCTGTTATGTCTTTAATGATTAAAAAGTACTTTAAAAATAAGCCGTGTAAAAAATTTCTGCAACATCTTTACTCAAGATAAAAGTTTTTAAATAAAGCAGTAAGATTAAAAGAATGAAGATGTTTTGATTTCAATTTTCAGCAATTCATAACTACTATTATAATAAAATATGGGGCTATAGAGATAGCTCAGTGGTTAAGAGCCCTTTTTGTTTTTGAAGGGAACCTAGACTTAGTTGCCAACACCCACATAGTGCCTCACACCATCTGTAACACTAGTTCTATGTGATTACATGTCTTCTTCTGTTGTCTTGTGGACACAAGATAAACATAGTACACATACATACATAAAAGCAAAAATTAATATACATTAAAAATGGGGAAATCTAAACAATAAAAAAGATATCAGGGTGGATTTTAAAAAAAATCACAATAATAACATGGTGGTATATCTTGATATGAATATGCATACATATTTACACACACACACACATACACACGCGCATACATATATAGGCATAGATGTTTTGATTTTGCTGTGCTGGTGTTTTAACTCCTTTTCTCCTGTTTTGAAAAACTGCTATGACCAAGAGTAACTTATGGAAGGAAGAGTATATTTTGGGTCATGGCTCCAGAGAGTTGAGTCCTTCAGTAGGGTAGGGAGGCACAGCCGCAGACAGCAGGCAGTGACAGAGGCAGGAAGCAGAGAGACCACCTCTTTAACCATAAGCAGAAGGCAGGTAGAGTAACCTCCAAAGGCAAGGCTACCAACTCTCACAGATCACCCCTAGTGAGGTACTATTTCCAACAGGGCTACATCATCTCCAGAGACTGCCATTCATAGGGGATGAGGTGTTCAAGTACTTGAGCCTATGGAAGGCATTTTCCATTTAACCCACCAAGAGCTGTAGATTGAGATAACTAATGGACTCACAAGTGCTCATCAAGCAATATGCTAGCAAGCACCATCCTTCATTTTGGCTGTATATTTTTAAAGTAATATTTGATATATTTAATTTTGTCAGCAAAAATCCACATGAAAGAAGAAAGAAGTAGGTATTCAAGAGAAAAGTATATGTTGAATGGTTTTTTGTTCCTTCCATTGTTAACAGTGAATAACAGTACCTGTTGAGCCTCTTATTAGGTTGAGCAAATATCTTTCACTGGAGCACACATTTTTATGTGCAAACAGCTGACAGTTTCTGCTCCTTCTTCCAACAGATAAAAGTGCTTCATGTTTCTAGTTATTAACATCTGTTGGTTTGACAAAGACAAATTCTATGGCATTTTATTCAAATTACCTATGAAGTAGCTCAATGGTTTTCATTAGATGGAAAAGATGAAAAATAAATAATGTAATAGTAGTTATAATGTGTTATTATTAGCACATGAAAGACAGCAACAACATGGTGTGCTATTGCCTTCCATCTTGATGTACAATGATCGAATTACTGACCATCTATCAGAAGTTAGGAAGAGCTATCAGAGCCCTGTACCAAGAGCTTCTCCAAAAAATGGTGCATTCTTTTTATTATTCTTAAATATTTATTTGTGTATGTGCTGTGTGGGTTGGGGTGCACATGTTTGTGGGCCGTGTGGTGGACAAAAGAACACTTTGGTATCCTCCTCCATTACTTTCCACCTATTCTTTCAGGAAGGGTCTTTCCTGGCACCAGCTCTCCTGTTTTCATGGTTGGAAACTGGTAAGTCTCAAGGATCCTCTTGCTGGTGTTAGACCCATCAGCAAATACTTGGCTTACTTAATATTTGGATCTGTCACCCAGTCCTCAAGTTTGTAGAGCAAAGCTCTTTCCATTGAGTCATCTCTCTAGCATTGGTACATTGAAATTATTAAATTGCCTATGTTGTAGGAAATTTCATGTATGAAAACATAGATGAAAATATCATCCCCATTTGCCATTTGTTCAAAGTCACCTATGTATCGGAAGCAGAGATAGTTTTTGTTTGTTGTTTGTTTTTAAATAACGGATTGTTTATTTTGGAGCCAAAGGTAAGTGGCTTTGGTCATGAAATGCAGATTCAGTTTGTCCAAAAGAGCATGTTCCTATGTGATCAACAGTTTGAAGTTTCTTAGTAATAGAACAAAGTCACAGCCGGGCGGTGGTGGCGCACGCCTTTAATCCCAGCACTTGGGAGGCAGAGCCAGGCGGATCGCTGTGAGTTCGAGGCCAGCCTGGGCTACCAAGTGAGCTCCAGGAAAGGCACAAAACTACGTAGAGAAACCCTGTCTCGAAAAACCAAATAAATAAATAAATAAATAAATAAATAAAAAAGAACAACGTCACAAAGCAAAACACTTTTCAGATACTTGGGCGGAAAGATAGATTAAGTTTGTTTCAATCAATCCGTGAAATCAGTTGAAGGCCTCAGCTGCTCTGATGACATTCTTGGCCTTCGTACCCTAAGACTTGACTTGATCTTCCTGAGGGTGTTAGGTCATACAGGCAGACAGGTTAAGTAGTAAATAGCTATCTAGGGAGTCTAAAAATAGCCCAAGATAATTCGATTCTGGAACTTTAACATTTCAGCTAATCAGTCATGCAGCCATGTAGAATGTGGATTTTTCTGGGAATGTCAGTTCATATCTGCTTAGCTCTCTAGCTTTCCATTTCCTCTTCAATTTTGACCTTGATTTCTTAACACCTGTTGAGCTCTTTAGTATTTTTAGGGATGTGAGTTTAGTGATAAGTCACTGTGTTCTCATTGAAATGGTGTTTTAGATTTACTGGAAACAGGTCAGTAATGACTCATTACCCAGCCTAAATAACTATAATTGTTTATGTAGATGAGTGTCTTAATATTTTTCAAAAATAAAACCATAGATACTGTTAGTCAAATAAACAGGAATTCTTCCTTAGTAATGGGTTGTTTTCTATTCCAGAGCATATATTCACTACTTGTTTATGTTTTGTTATTTTATATTTTTCACTAATTTTCATTAGCATTTGATGGGAAGTAGTGAGAAGACATCAGATACGATCAATGATGTCATAGAAACTAAAAAGCTTTGGAGAGTCTTCTGAAATTCAAGCCAGTATTTTAGATGGCTGGACTGTAAGTTATATATTTTCTCTGGTCCTTTGTGACAGTTATTGGATTGGATTGTAAAAGAATTGAGATCATATTGAGAACACATAAAGACACACTTTCATAGAGAAATGCAAGGTCATAGCTACAAAGAATCCAGAATCTCAACTATTATAACAGTCTACCTCTGTGTTCTTAAATGAAAATAGACTGTCCTTGCCCCATAAAATTTAAAATGCAATTTGAATCATGGATAATTCTTATTTAAACTTTCAAGGAAGGAATGGTTTCAAATTTTTATATATACCAAACTATAATTAACTTTGTTAATACATACATGAGGCAGAGTCCAGAAGTTTGAGCTTCAAGTAAATCATGCTGCTCTATTAACAGCTGCATGGTAATGTTGATCATTAATCAAAGCATGATGGGTTCTTAAAGCCCATAAAGATCAATTAAAACAAGAGTTCAGTCTTCATATTCTTCTGATATATGTGGTGTCTTCATACCCTTACACACAAAGAAAATACGAAAACACTTATGGGAATAGCTACTACCCCTCCATCATTGGAGTATTTTTTTTGTTCATGCTGGTATAGGGCCAATCAAGTTTTGACATTTATAATTTAAGTTTGAACTCTAAGGATGGCATATTACTTATGTCCTATAAGATTATCACTGAGAAAATTTGAACTTCCATCTTTTCAATTAAAAGTGAAACATTATCTGAGACATGGCCAGAGTCATGGAGCAGTGCCCAGTCTTATCAAATGTTCTACTACCTCCCAATGAAGAGCCCAGGGTTCTGACTCAGCCTGTCTATAGCGTTACTTAGTCTTTCATGATCGGAAACATTGGCATTGCTTGCCAGATTGATGTCATCTGATCAGAATTCTACTTTTCTGGCTTTCTTCTGAGTAAGGGAATCAGACCGTTGGGACCATTCTTCATGCTTAGAAAAAGGGACAAATCAGAGGTCAGTCCTACATTGATCTACAAATGGTTAAGTCTAACATATATTCTGGAATATTACCTCATATTAATAAAACCAATTCAAGTCAGACTTTTAAATTGTCAGGAAGGGAGTTTTTGCCAAAATACCATGGGAACCATTATCTCATTTGTCCTATGGGGCTTGCTTGCTTCATCATCTTTAGGGAAGAAGTTGTACACCTCATATTTTTAAGAAAAAAAATCCAGTTTTCTATAGTTTCTTAAAAAATATCTTAATATCACATCTATATTTTCGAATAGCATATTCATCATCTAAAATAATTGTTACTTATCTATGGTAAATACATTTGAAATGTCATCTTTCAGCCAATTTGATATATTCACTATCATTATTATCTTCAGTCATGATGGACATGGAGAGTTGGGTGCTATGTGAAATAAGCCAGAGATAGGAAAAAAAAGAATCTTGTGATCTTTCTCAGATGCAGACCTTAAAACAGTAGAGCAGAAAGTAGTGATGATTAGAATGGCGATAACCAGAGCCTGGGGGTGGAAGAGAGAGGGGAAAAAAGCAGTCCAAGAGTTCAAAGTTACAATTATATGCATTCTAATGACCCCTGCTCAAGTGTTCACTGTACTTGTAAATCGTCTCACTTGTGATGGATTCCCACTTTGGTCTACCACATCTAGTAGCTCATGAACTCACCTGTGTTTCCCATAAAAATGGATCGTCTCATGAAAGAGACGGATGAACCTATACATGCTTGTTTTCTTGCCAGTTTGTTTCTGTTGATTTTACATATATGAATGGACTTGTAGGTAGTTTTCCTGGGATATCTGCTTTGCTACCCTGCCCATATGTTTGTAGAGAAGGAAAATTATCTCTCTTAACCTACATAAGAATATGTATAAGTATATTGTGGAAAGTGAGTAATGTTTCTAGTATTACCTTATGAAAAAAAGATGCTCAAATGAGGTAAAAGCTAAACTGGATCACTGAGAATTCAATTAGTAGATGGATGGTCTTATACACAAACCACTGCATTGTTTAGCAATATACTTGCATTAATGCAGTAGGAAAAAAGAAAATGAAGCAATTTTGTACCAGTACTAGTAGATGACTTGCATTTCCATGGGATCTGACACCCTCTTCTGGCCTCTGAAGGTACCAGACATACATGCTGTGCAGATACATACATGCAGGAAAACACACATTAAAAATAATTTAATCTTTTTTTAAAAACAGAAACTCCCTTTTTCATATGCTTTGAAATACTCAGGAAAAAAACACAGAATTTTATGTACTATATTAACACAATCTAAGAAAAGAGAGCGATTTAGTCACTGGTATATTTGAACATTAACTTTTCATGACATGTGGTAATGAAATAATGAGATGAAACAACTGCACAAGGCCTTAACAAAAATGTAATTTCCAGTACATTATTGATATCATTTTTCATACCCACGCTCAACTACAAAAATTTAGGTTCCGTTGCTACGACAAAATATTGATGTCATATATTAAATAAAGAGCAGCGGGTATCTATCAAGAATAGATATATTCTCTGATGACCCTTAATGAGATTCTTTGAATTTCTCTATAAAAATAATCAATATTTTCCTAGATGTGGTAGAGATTATGAAAAGACTATTGAGTAGGTAGCTGATGAAAAATACTATTAAAATATTCCTCCAAACTAACCACGATTTCTTTAGAAAACCACTGTGAAACTGTGAGTCATCGCTGAGAATTTAAGAGGAACAAGGAATCTTACCCTTTCAATTGGTAGTGAGAAAGTTAATGAACCACTTTTTCTTCCTAAATTATAATGATTGCATCAATGAAAACTAGTTCAATGGCCTGTGCAAAAAACACATATACAAATAACCACAAAATCTATTACTGAAAATTCTGTAGCTCATTAAAATTAGTCACGAAATGGGGTAACTAAGGTTTTCAGCTCTACACAGGGATCCTACAAAATGAGCATTCAGCAACGTTTTCAGACTCTAAAACACTAAATCGTGTTTGGAGCTCTTGACCCAGCTAGGCCATCTAACCTGTTCAAGTCTCAGGTCAGCACATACACAAAGACTGTGAGGTCCCATTAAGGTAATTGCTTTAACGCCAATAATTTTAGATATAAAAATTTCATGATTTTAGTCACAAAAATAGCATATGCAATGAATTTTACAATATTGGGTTCAGTGAAAATATTATTTTTCAAAAGTACCAAATGCAAAAGCCTCTTTACGTGTTGTTTCTTCTCAAATATTTATTGTCAATGTCATAAAATATTAAAATTAATGAAAAAATAGAATGTTGAAATGAATTATTCAGTTCTCAAGTAATTATTCTGTTTTGGATGACTTAGGCTTGAAAAGCTAATGGAAAATGAACAGTGAAAAACCAAAAGGAAATGCTGCTTCCCTAGATGACTACTTATAAAGCACAGCTTCACTAGTGTTCAGAGTTTAGACTTACAGTTAACACTAGTCATAGGTTTAAATGTCAGTGTCCACTCTAGTAGTTTTACATAAAAATATGGTGTAAAGGGAAGTAGATTTAAACATGTGTATACACAAAACACTATTCTAAAATAATAGTTTATTTTACCAATTGTAGAATTAGTACAAAGCATGAAATATATGTCAGTTTCCTTTTCTGTTTGGGAAAATTGGCTCTTGAATCTTAAAG